CCCTGGTTTGGTGAGAGCAACAAATGGAAAACTTTCCTCAAACTGACATGAAGAAGATTTATTCAGACTATTAACAACTTCATGTTCCAATTTTTTTGAATTTTATTTTATATTTTCTTCTTCTGTGAAGTTCTGATGAAGTGCTGTTGTCAAACGCTTAAAGCAAATTCCTGGAACAAGTTGATACTTGTTTGCTCATCTCTCACAGGCAACCTTGCAGTTATTTTTCTTCTTTTTTTTCAGAGAAGTTGTTGGAACGAGCCGCTCGCTGAGCTCCTGTCACGAGTCCAATAATTGTGTCTCAATTCGTAGCCTGCAGGGATATTATTTCTGCAGACTGAACAGGAGTTGTATTTTACACTTTGAATMTTAAAAGCAGCTTTTAAAAGTGTCTTTGCTTCTGCCACACAGTGAACTTTAAATCAAAATGAGGTCAACACAGTGAGTGACTATCAAACAGCGCTCTAAAACCAAGTCCGGAACAAGTAGGTCACAGTTGCAGAGGGACTGTTTTCAGTCAGCGTGATGTTTCATCATTTCCTACCAGRACAAACTTTTGAAACTATGTCAATATTTCCAAAAGCTGACTCCTCATGACAGTGATGATGCAAAGTAAAATATGTTTATGTTGGTAAAATGTTGATAACCGTGTCATAAAGTCTCACTTTGGTTTGTTGTGTTTCAGAGCTGTGGGTAAAACATGTCTCCTCATCAGCTACACCACCAATGCCTTCCCCGGGGAGTACATTCCTACTGTGTGAGTGTGACACAAGYACACATGCACAATTACACACATACACACACCTTTTATATCTATATTTTTTCTTCCATGAGGCAACATGTCAAGAAAAAAAAAGAGAACTGGCCTTTTATGCAAAAATGCAACATGAACACTGAGGGTAACAACTTTGCAGAAATTTACTGAAGAATATCAAACTGTGCTGTTATAACAAGAAGCAGCAAAGTAGCTAAAAGTTTAAAAATGCAAACTATCTATAAATAGAAACTAAATGTGTCAAATGGTTAGCTAGGAAAATCAAAATAGCATTAGATTGGTTAAAGACTCTAATAGTAAAAGTGTAACTCAACACTAGAAGTAGCAAAAGCYTTGCTAAAAGCTAAATATAGCAAACAAAGCAAMGCAAAGCTGGCAAAAGAATAAAGTAAATAATGCACTGATAAGATTTAATAGAGAACAATGTTTTTATGACATTAAAATAATCTCAATATATTTCTATCGAGAACATATTTGCAAATGAATTTAACTGTTTTGAAAAGTAAAAATGAACGATGTAAAAGTGGCTAAAATGGTATGCAGACACACTTCTAGTTTGCAAAAAATCAAATGGAAAAATAAATAAAGAAAACTAGGAGAACATCAGAGTGAATTSTGAATCAGTTGTCAGACATTTAAAGTTGCCATAAACAGCTCAGACTAAAACAAATACAGCTGGTCAGACACAAACAGCTCATGCATGCTGCAGTAAAAAGTCTAAGTGGGGACGACAGTTTGTTTAATGGCAACATCAGTTTTATCCTACAGTCCTTACATCACCCTGTATGTCCTTGTTGCTGATTTACAAAAACATTGTTTTTTTTTTTGTTTTTTTTTTTACTGATTTACAACAGTCATTGGCAGGTTAGATTTTTATTCTCAACATTTTTAGTTTCCTGGTAATAAAAAGACTACAAATAAAACTGGGATCAGTTCAGGAGCCAGAAATACACTATTATAAATAATTACAAAAAAACAAAAAGGAACCAAGTTCACAGTAARATGTTGTCATCCACACTAAAACTGACTGCAGTTTGTAAACAAAAGCTCAAGAATCAAACTCACTCAGTCTTTTTATTTTGCAGTGTTTTTTCTGTCACCACCAGGTGGCACTGTTACTTCATTATTGTAGTGTTGCAGAAGACGGGACTGGTGGTTGTCAGTGAACAAGGACAACAAAATACTTGTAACTTTCAGAGTCAAACAAAGAGTTTTAATTTTAGTTGGTTTRTATTGTTGTTTGGTGTTATAGTTTAGCATTTTGTCCCCTTTATTAAACTCAAAGTGTTATTTTATTGCCACGTTAAAGTCACTTTCTTACAATCTTCATTGTTTTTGTGACACAAAACCTTTACTTTCAGATCTCTGATGACTTATGAGTCATCTGTGATGACATCTGTGTGTGTCGCTCATTAATCTTGTGATTGATTGTTTAAATTAAACACTTGCTCAGTGGTTCAATGACTAATGGCTGACCTTTTGCGCTCCTGACAGATTCGACAACTACTCAGCTAATGTGATGGTGGACAGCAAGCCGGTGAACCTGGGTCTCTGGGATACAGCAGGACAGGAGGACTATGACAGGCTGCGCCCACTGTCCTACCCACAGACGGTAGAACAATCATTTCCRCACGCGGACGTCTGATCTAAAAAAGACTAAATCAATTTAGTTCCCAGGTGTGGGACTGAGAGAGAGTTTAAATTGCAGCTGTCACATCCAGCCTTTCTGACTGAACTGCATCCTCATTAATTGAAATGACGGGAACAAAACTAACAGGGACATGTTCTTTGAGAAGGTGCAGGCAAGAGAAGGAAATTAGGTGTTTAATATCTGTAACTGAGTGGCAGGTTTGGAAAACAAAGCTTAGTAAAATGCTGAGGAGGAACAACCCTGGAGGGAACATTTTGTTTTCCTTTAGATTTGAGGAACATTTTCCTCTAACTGAACTGAACCAGCAAATATATACAAGTGCAACTAAGCATTGGTAGCTTTTATTTTTTAATCATTCTAAAACATATGAAACATATATGACTTATTTGCTTTAGTAAATACAAGTTAAAACAGAAGCAGGCAATAGCATGAATGTAAACCTTAATTATTTGTGTTTAACGTGTTTTTTAGATATTTTCACCAAAACTACAATTTCAGTAAGTTATCTAATGCCATCCTTTTAATGGAGATAGATGATCCTGTGATTGCAGACATCTGTCTGACAAACACATCTTGCATGTGTTTGTCTGTTAGCAAAATATCTCATAAACCATTGGACAKATTTTATTGAAACTCCCAGGAAGCAATCACACAACATCCATCTACAACTGATTAACTTTTGGAGTCAGCCTGATTTCAAGATAGCTGTCACAGCTAATCAACATTTTCAAACACAGAAATGCCTATAATGCAGTTAAAATGACTGACAGTGAGCGCAAATTTGGTTTGGTGGTAGCTGAAAGTCATTTCCAAAACACACTCTAAGCACTAACAAACTTCACAAGATCTTTGTTTTGAAACTTTATCATGCAAGGAGGCGTGCAGTTCATCCAAGCAACGCAAGTTTCGTTGTTGTGTGATTTAACTAACATGAAAAAGTATTAATTTTGATTTTCGTTACCCTTTGCAGTAAAACAAGAAGTAATTTGGTATAGTTCACATGTGTCAAACTCAAGGCCCGCGGGCCAGATGTGGCCCGCAGGTGACTCCCGTGTGGCCCGTGAGGGGGGTACCACCTCTACAAAAAAATACTTAACATGAAAATAGTTTCTTATATCAATGGTAAACTTTAAATTTATGATTAAATGCAACAAAATAAATTTAAAAGGTGAAAGATAATAATTTTCCTGCCCCTGAGCTGTTGGCTTTAATAACTGAGCAATTTAGTTGGATAGCACAGTATTAATGTCTGAAAATAAGCTGCTATAGTCAGCATCAACCATAAACTAAATCTGCCATAATGCAGCTACTCACTAGAAACTCTTCAGTGAGAAAAACTTTATTAGTTTTACTTTTAATAATATTTCTGTATTTATTTCAGATTTAGTCAATAGCAACTTAATTATTATCAGTTTTTAAAAGAGGACGTGTTAAAACACTGTTTAGTCAAAGTTCATTACAAGTGGCCTTTCGAGGGCCATCATATCGCTCATGTGGCCCTCGGTGAAAATGAGTTTGACACCCCTGTTATAGTTAGTCATAGTAGTTAATAAAATATTATTCTGTAAACATCAATAGACCTGAATTGACTGCAGAGGTGTGTAGTAACTAAGTACATTTACTTTGTCGCAGTACTTTACTAATTTTTTTAGGCTGTGTAAGTTGACCACATTTTTTTTATTGTGACGTTTACTTTTATTTTGTTATGTTCAGAATA